GGTCTGCATGAGTTCGGAACTTGTCATGGCGGTCGAAGTTGGTCTTTCGGGGGTCAGGCGTTGCGGATGGCATACGCTCTGCAACTGCATAATGAGCTCGAGGAGGACCCGCTATTGAGTCAGACGAATGGTGGCGGGTCCCAGCTCAGCTTTACAGATCGAGAGATTAGAAGACGCACTATGTGGGCTTGCTTCATGATGGATCGTTATAACTCGTCTGGAAGTCAACGTCCACCTATTGGAAACGAAAAGTTTATACAGATACAACTACCGATCAAAGAGTCGCATTTCCAGATGGAAATCCCGGGACCAACGGAGGATCTGGATGGAAATGTTCCCAATCCTGTTCCGGAAGATGTGGGCCAGCTGTCCAACGCGAAGGACAACATGGGGGTCTCTGCCTATATAATCCGCGCCATAGTATTATGGGGGCGTATCGTGGACTATCTAAACTTAGGAGGAAAGAAAAAAGATGTCCATCCACTGTGGTCACCCGAGTCGGGGTATACGCGTCTCAAACGACAGATTGAGGAGTTTTCTGCATCTCTTCCAAGCCATTTAGCATTCACTTATGAGAATCTCCAGATTCATGCGGCCGACAGGATCGCCAACCAGTTTCTCTTTCTGCACATAATCATCCATCAGAACATGCTATTCTTAAACCAGTTTGCCATTCCGTTATCACCGGGAGGACGTCCCCCGCGGGATATGCCCAAGGCTTTCTTGAGCAACGCTGGGCGGGCCGCGGTAGAGGCGGCTCACCATATCTCTGTGCTGATCGATCGCGCGTCAGCATACCCTCTCACCGTTCCCTTTGCTGGTTATTGTGCATATTCAGCCAGCACAGTACACATCTGGGGTATCTTCTCCAAGAACTCCCAGCTCGAGGCTCGGTCGAAGGAAAACCTACGATATACTTATAGATATCTAAACAAGATGAAGAAATATTGGGGTATGTTTCATTATATGGTGGAAAGCGCTAAGGATCGATACCGGCAGTTTGCAGATGCTGCCATTAAAGGGTCGGTTGTCACACAGAACGGCAGCCAGATCTCCGCAATGTTTCAGTACGGTGACTGGTTCGACAAGTATCCTCATGGTGTGTCGAGGATGCATTGGGAGGACCCAAACGCTCAGCGGAAGAGTAAAAATGACGATGCCGTGATGAGCCAGAAGGCCGACCTTCAAAGTGTCGAGGACTTCTTTGCCAGCCTCTCCCCGACGTCACAGCCCAGCGTGCCAGGTCGACAGCATTCCAGGAAGGACAGCAGAGGTGAAAGTCTGTCTGATATGGGTCAGCCAACCTCTCAACCGATGGTTGACATCAACACTCCAGGGATGATGGGCACGCCTGGAGCTGGGTTCCCGCAGCCCGCACTGTTCAACCAGGCTCGTGGGCAACTTTACGGCCAGTATCCATTCGATTTCCCTGTCCCAGCCGACCAACTACCCCAACTGGATCGACAGTTTGTCTACGGCTCCTTCGACGGTCTCGATCCGTCCACCAACTTCATGCCTCAAGACAATCCGCCCATCTCTACCGTAAACGGTGCAGAGCCCTCCCCAGCCGCCCCAGACAACTCTGCCATCTTCCCGGGCCAACTAGATCCCAACGCGCCCGCTGGGGTAGGCGAGTACTACCAGCCAAGCGCCTGGTTCCTCCCCTTTAACCTCGACCCCGTCAGCGCAGGCGTCAGCCTCGACCCAAGTCCCGCGCAGGTCCCCGGCAGCGGAACCCCGGGCATGTCCACCTTCAACGCGGGAAACGTGCCCATGGGCACGTTTGACATGGGAATAGCGAGTGTGAATCGAGGCCCTCACATGAATGAGTAACGCAGGAACCGGCGGCGCTTGATGTTTTAGATATCACGGCGGATATTTGTTTTTCTTTGTTTGGTTTTCTTTCGGGATCCACTTGGCGAGTTTTTGTGCGGCTTGTATGGGATGGTTTGGAAAAAGAGATGGTTGGAGTTTTGTTATGATCTCTTGATATCTGTACGGTGGCCTTATGTGTATATCTTCCTGGGGTTTAGGGAATATTGATCTCTTCTGATGGTGTGGGTATGTATCTTCTGGTGTTTTATATCTTGGGCTGGATCATGCTATGTGGTTCCGATGTGAGGTGTGAGTTCTTGGGTAAGTATTTATCCTGTGTCATCTAGTAAAGAACATATCTGTACATCCCGCATCTCAATAGGAAACAGAAAGAAAAAAAAAAAAAAGCCTTCCCAGCATCTGGAAACCCCTACTTACACTACAGGTGGGGACTGAGGTTTCAAAAGGATGCAAGCAAAAACAAAACAAAAAAGAAGTGCATCATCCGTGAATCGAACACGGGCCTCATCGATGGCAACGATGAATTCTACCACTAGACCAATGATGCTAGTTGATGTCTCTTCACTCAAATTCATGCTATATATATCAAAGGTCACAGCCAATGTCTTAATAACAGGGACAATCCGTGATGACTGGACTCAAAGACTGGCCAGGATTATCGACAACTTATTTTTTTTGGTAAAGACTGCTAGAATAGGGAAGCAGCATGGTATTGGTGTTCAGGAGGGTCGATTGTACATACAGGTTGCTGAGGTCATGAATAGTAATAGTTGTCTTTTAAGGCTACGTCTTTTGGGGCGTTTATTCATTTGGTAGCATGGGTGGTTCTTCTCAAGATACAATATCTTACGTTGTTTCTCAGCTTAGTGGAAGACTTTACATAATCCGTATATCAGGATCGACAGCATAACTCAATATGAGACCTGGTCGGCAAATGGAATGCTAAAGCGAATATCATATCCGTGTTTGGAAGCGAAGGAATTCGTAGCGCCAATGACCCGTATTCGTAACAGTCGAGGGAAATCTTACACCAACATGTAATACAGTAAAATCAGACATGACAATCATATAACGAACAGGCACAGCAGAAAGTAAAGCAAAGGAAAAAGGGAGGATCATGATATATTAATCCTCCCATTCTTCGTCTAGTTGATCTATCAGTCGATTTTCGGCATCGACATCTCTTCCAGAGTTTCTCCGCCCGCCGATCGCGCCGATGAACCCGCCGCGCTGGCTGCCGCTGCGGGTGTGGCCGAGAGCCGGCGATCGTTTGAAACGGAACGCGCGGCCTAGGGAGGAGCCGACAATGGTGAACATGTCCTAGTTACGCTTGCTGTTAGCGATGGTTCCCAAAGGCGTCATGGTTTAGGCATATGAGAAAGACACAAGTGGAAGAAACCCTGCTAAACAATATAACTATTTAACGAGATCACTGGTGTCCAACATTCAAGGGCTAATCACAAAAGCAGATCCTGCTGCTGTACACAGAAAACCACGGTTTACCCATGTTCAACATAGGTCTAAATGATTATATAGCAAAGAGAGAGGAAGAACATAGACCAGATGCTGAAAGTACCGACTCCCTCGATGTAATTGAGCTCTAGACCAGCCAAAGCGGCATTCAATCCATCCTCGAAATTGGTAGCTTCGCAATATTGAGCTCCTTGTAGGAACCTCGATCATGGCGGCGCGCTCTGGAATGAGCCCGCCGAAACGGTATCAATGCTAGTATACTTACTTTTACAAAGTCGAACATGCCTGCCCAGAGGCTGTAGTTCGGGCACTGTCTCCAACCGCGTTGGTGCATCACTGTCCGCTGATAAGCGCAGCCACCAACAAGGTACGCGACGACGGCGATCAATCCACTGCAGGACGGCGTTAAAACCTTTCTGATTGTTCCCTTCCATAAACGGCCCATCGGATAGGTAATACTCACATCACACCGAATATACCGGCTGGGCCAAGGCCTTGGCCGTCGGCCGGGGCCACGGCACCACAGGCGGCAGAGCTTCGGACTTCAAAGAAGTATGTGCACTGATCCATAGTTCCCACAAAGGACGCGGTTGCCTGATGTGCTGGAGCGTCGCGATCGCAAAGAAACGACATAATCGTCGATTTGGTGCGCGAGGCATTTCCGATAAGTTCCCCAGCACAAGGCGAACCATCAGTGTAGTTCAAAACCAGCTTGCGACCCCGGAACAATGGCTCAGACGCTTGTTGCCTAAGAACAAGTCAGCCTGTTTTCTCTCTGGTTTTAATTGTCACAACCCGCACACAAGCATACCCGATAGAATAAATCTTGCCCTCCTTCTCATAATATGCGCTGATATTCTGCCACCTTGCACGGTCGACTCCCACCACATCTTTGATATTCTCCACCACCGGAGCGCACACGTTTATTGTGAAGTTTGCATGGTAGTCATGACCCTTGGCATGCCAGCTTTCTGTGCGGACGTTTCCACGAAGCTTTTCGTCCTTCGTCTTCGGTGGGGATAGAGAGATTGAATTTAGATCATAGTAGAGACCGGTGGTTGGAGAGCGTGCCACACAGGGCGACAAGCCATTTGGGCTTGTTGAATCCGAGGCAGCATGAACGGAAGCATGGGGTGCTGAGAGAAGGAGGAGGAACCCCAGCAACGACGTAGCTAGCGACTTCATGATGGGAGATCAATCCCGCAGGGCGGATGCGGGATGAATAGCGATAACAATGATATAAATAAAAGGACCGAGATCGCCGAAGACGAGATTAATAATAAAAGAAAGTCCAGTGAATTGTGGATAAATGGAAAAGAAGGAACTATGGAAAGAGTGAGTAATGGGAGGGGAGAGAGAAGGATAAGATCCGAGGATACGTAAGATGTGATGTTGGATCTGTGGTGGTTCTCCAACAATCCACTGGAACTGCGGAGAAAACAAAAGGAACAAAAAGGAACCAAACGCAAAAAGTGCCCGCGGCCCCCGTCGGCCACCAAACATCCGACTCAGACGACAGACTTTCTTTTTACAACAAACACTCTTCTACCGACAGATAAATATCTTCTGTCCTGCCATTGGAGAAGCCCACAGCTTCCTACCTCTTTTACAGTCTTGCCTGTGGGTTTCTCTGGCATACACGCAACCCCTTGGATCGCGCATTATCTGACGTCCCGAATTTCAGTCGCATCATGGCGCCAAAGAAGAATTCCAAGAATAAAGTCCCGATACAGCCCGTTCCCGAAAAACGGGGCTATGAATTCTGTGGCCCGTATGTTGTTTCAAGAGCGTCGCAGCCAGGAACCTAGCAATTGACCGTCCAACAGTCCCGGCGCGTTCGCATTTGTGACCTGCCTTCCGGCTCTCATCTACGGCTTCACCTTCTTTTGTAACGATGTTTCCGGCTGTCCTGCTCCCTCGCTGCTCAATCCGTCGACCTTGTCCCTGGAACAATTGAAGAAGGAGGTTAACTGGCCACAAGATGGCCTCAAAGGGTTCTTCGACGCTCGTGTGACCTTGTGGGTGTTGAGTTATTACCTCCTTAGCCTGGTGTTGAACGTGTTTCTACCTGGCGACGAGGTCGAGGGTACGGAATTAGCTTGCACAGGGAGGCTTCGATACAAGTTCAACGGTATAGATCTGATGTTGGATGCTTGAATGATATCGGCTGACCCATTTACAGCCTTCCCCTCCGCCGTGTTGATCCTCTCCGGTTTAGCTCTGGGCACATACGTCAACGGTGCGGACTTCGTTGTGTGGACCTTTCTTTGGGATAATTACGTGCAGGTCATTACGGCAAATTTAATAATTTGCACAGCGATTGCGGTCTTTGTTTATGCGAGGAGCTTCTCCGTTCCCGCGCCTGGTCAACTCAACCCCGAACTTAGACAATTGGCACCGGGTGGCCACACTGGCAATGCCCTGTATGATTTCTTCATCGGCCGGGAGCTCAATCCTCGGGTGAAGTTGCCTATTCCTTTCGTCAGCGAGGCTTCACGGACGATTGACATAAAAGTATGGTGTGAGATGCGGCCGGGTTTGCTTGGGTGGAACATACTGAACCTGTCCAACATTGCCCGTCAGTACAGAACATACGGCTATGTGACGGACTCGATCGTTCTTTCCACCGCATTCCAGCTCTTCTATGTTTTGGATGGGCTGTATATGGAGCCAGCTGTCCTAACCACAATGGACGTGATCATGGATGGATTCGGTTTCATGCTCTCTTTCGGTGACATGGTGTGGGTTCCATTTGTCTACAATTTCCAAACTCGGTATCTCGCAGTTTACCCATTGGAGTTGGGTCTGAAGGGGATCCTGCTTGTCTTGGCCGTAACTGGCGTGGGATACTCGATTTTCCGTGGCGCCAACAACCAGAAGAACCGTTTCCGTACGGACCCCAATGACCCCCGTGTGAAGCATATCAAATACATTGAGACAGCCAGTGGATCCAAGCTGATGACTTCCGGATGGTGGGGCATGGCGCGTCATATCAATTACTTGGGTGACTGGCTGATGTCGTGGTCGTATTCGCTGCCCACTGGGTTTGCTGGTTATACTATTATCGAAAGCATCAACCAGGCCGGCGACGTGCAGAAGCAGGTCGTACAGAATCCTGAGGTCCGTGGCTGGGGAATGATTTACACCTACTTCTTCTTGATCTATTTCGGCGTCCTGCTTATCCATCGCGAGAGACGCGACGAAGAAAAGTGTAAGAGGAAGTACGGTGCCGATTGGAACCGCTATACGTCTCTTGTCCGCAGCCGCATCATCCCTGGTATCTACTAGTTGGATCCTGCGCGCGGTGTACTCTATGCTGGGGGCTTCCTAGTCTGGTTGCTGTTTACGTGGACCCAAAAAGTTCGTGATGTGTTCGGATTAGACTTCTGGATCCATTCCAGTCGCTTCGTTCTATGTATTCATAACTATTACTTTTTAATATGTACATCATATAGAGCCGGGTCCTGATATTCATTGCCATACATTCCATCGATTAGATCAACGCTTCCGCTTCCTGGGGTCAATCAGCACCTCCAATCCCCAATTCTCGTCCCCTGGATTGGGGGTCCATCCACTCAACACTCTTCTAGCGTCTCGTATCGCACTCTTCCGCGCTTGGAGTGACTCTGTTAGAACCGTAGGCTCTTTCTTGAATTCCCGATATGTCGGGGCCTCAGTAATCCGCTTTGTCACATCCAGACCCAGGGACAACTGCCCTTCCTCCACACCGATTTCGATGTCAGGTCCTTGATCATGATCTTCAACGCAAGATTGCACAATCTCTTTAGACAGGCCCCATAGCCTCGCCCTTGACAACGCAGAGGCGCCCCGTGCCAAGGGCTCCGACGCCCGATTCCCCTGTTTCACCCCGTTGATAATGGTCTCATACAGGCCTGTCCGAGAACCACCTAATTTGGGCAACGACTTGGCACCATTATCCACCACACTAGGAACCGACACAGACGAAGCCGCCGCCCAAACAGCAGAAATCACCGCGGGCTTACTTTTCCTCGAAGCAGCCATCGGATCCGACTTCCCAAATGCCCAAAGCTCGTCAACGAGTCCAGTAGGAACTGACAGAATCCTAAACGGCCGAAACCGCCAACCATACCTTCGCTCGTCCACTGCCTTCTCACCACCGGGGGACCAAACCCTCCCCTTGAGCTCTCCCATCCTCCCATCCTCCCCAAAGCACCTCTCACACCCAACCCGACTAATCTCCCCCTCCGGCATAATGACCCCCTCGAGATACGCATTCACCGTAGTCGCCACAAGCAAACTACTCTCAAATGACAACAGCGACGAAACCTGCCTCAAGGCCAACTTATCCGAGCACGACTTACTCCGCGTAGCTTCGGCATCCGCACGAGACGGCTTCCGCCGCACAATGCCCAGTCGCGAGAAATGCGCCCTACCGTCTAGAAGCTCACCGTCCTCGCCATCTGGCGTCGTCGTGGGAACCTCCCACGGCGTCGGGTCCTCCTGTGCTGCCATGCAGAGTTCCATGCTTGCATCTCCGCACGGCGCACAGGTGCAGTACATGTAGATTTTCAGATCCGGGTTGAGTTCAAACGGTGGTAGTGTTATCACTGAGTCCTCGGGGTCTTGTCGTCGTCGTCGGATATATGGAGAACATGGCTCTTTCTCTTCCTCGTTTTTCTCAATTGCTGTATCGTTCTCGGATGAGGACCTCTGGTCCCGTTCCTGGGCAATGAAACTCCGACACTCGGATAACAGCCAGTGGTTGAATGCGCGGAGAGCAAGGATCTCAGCGTGCCAGTCGTGGAGCACTAGTCCTTTGCTTTTGGGGACTTGGGACGCCGAGAGACATTTTGCGCCGGATCTGGTTATCGTTAGTGGTAGTTCTACTTTGTTTTTCGCTTCTGTCGCTCAGTGCGAGATAAGGAGTGAGACATACGTAACAGCCACACAAGTCAATTTCTCATCTGGTGTATCTTCCCCTAATAGATTGGTATCGTTAGATCCTCGCCATACTACACATTATACACCATACAGCAAGCACGGAGAATAAAACACTAAGAATATACAATTCCAATCAAGTATAACAAAAAAGAAAGAAAGGAAAAAACCTACATACCCTTCACAATCACAATCCCCGACATAGGAATCCACTCCCTGGTCCCATCAGGCCGAATGCTCGGCTTACTCCGCGCAGGCAAGCCATCAAAATGCGCATGCACCAGACTCGCAATCCGACATGCCAACGGTGGTTTTGTGCCTGACTCCTCCATATCCCGATACAGATTCTCTTACTCTGTAACCAAGTTCAAAGGAATAACAAGGAAAGAAAGATCCCGTCCTCCTATCAACAATATACCACACGATACAATCATACCCCACAAAATCTCTTATATATATATATTCATCACGTGACTCCATACATAATCCCCCGATAAAAGAAAGTATCACGATAAACCCACCGCACCAAACCCCAAGCAAGTCCAATCCCCCAGAACAACTTACAACCGCCCCACCCTCACCTCAAACTCCCAGAATACCACCGGACAAAATCTCCCAAAATGGCCGATAAGCTGCGCACGCTCCAGAACCTCGAGGCCATGCAGGCGCGGTACGTGGGTACGGGCCACGCGGACACGACCAAGTACGAATGGACGTCGAACATCATCCGCGACAGCTACGCTTCGTACATTGGGCATCCGCCGATGTTGTCATACATGGCTGTTGGTATGGGGGAACCGAAGGAGAAGGTGCGGGCGATGTTTATTGAGAAGATGGTGAGGGGGGCTGGGAATCCGCCTGAGGTGAGTTTTCCTCTCTTTTTTTTTTTTTTTTTTTTTCTCCGGGGACAGGAACTGGGGGGAGATAGCATGTGTGTATGTGTGTGTGTGCTGATTGTTGGGGTTTTAGACGCAGGAGTGAATGGGTTGCGACAGGTGACTTGTCGGCTGTGATCTTGTTATGATTATCGATTGTGGTGTCGAGGTTTACGGATGATAATGCTTTCGCTGAGGCGGGGACTCTGCTTGATGGCTGGCGCGCTGAGCTCGATATCAGCGCCGGTGCTGGGATTGAGTGGTTGGGACTGCTTGATGCCAGTTGATATGCGGTCCGTTCACTGTTGCCCTTGATCGCTTGGGAGTTATGGAGTATCTTAGACGGCTCGGTGGGATGAACTGGGTTTATCAGTTGTACGCTCTGGGCTGACGTTATTGTTGGTTTATTACCATGTACTATAATGATTCGAGAACGTCAGTTGCATGATTTAGTGAAAGGACTGGGTATGCATCCACAGTGTCCGAATTAAAACAACTCATATACATGTGCGAAACATGGCCATGCTAAATCTTCGGTATGTCAAAACTATATGTACACGTCAAACTTTCATCACTTTTCCGTCTTTCCAGCTGCCGCCGCCAAGTTCGTGTTCTCGGTTTGCAAGGACGCGATCAACTCGAGCCATTGTCGTCGCTCGTTCCTAAGCCGCTCCAGCTCTTTCCTTAGATGGTCGTTCTCATGGCGCAGAATATCCATCTCCGTTCGAGACTTCGTTTTCTCTTCCTGGTCTGCCTGCTTTCGCTGTTTAGACTCAATCTTTGATGCTTCCTTGAGCTGATGCTTCTCGATCTTCCCCAGCTGCTTGAGGAGCTTAGATTCATCGCTGAATAAGCCCGAAGCGACCTTGTGCATCTTCGCTGTGTCGCGACTGTTTGGAGGAAGAGCCAAGTTATTGCTGCTCGACGAGCGGCTTTCTGACGGCTGGCGCTGGTTGCTGCTGCCCGCACTGGTGCTCACTTGATCACTGCTAGCGCCGGCGGCTGCCAAAGCAGCTACAGATGCTTTGTCTCTTTTGGACCCTTCCTCGCGGGACGGTAGATGGAGGGATCTGATGTCTTCTCGTACTTTGTCTAGCTGAACCTCGACTTCACGTTTACGCAGAGCTAGCTTAGCAAGTTGTTTCTCGTGCGAGGTTAGCTTGCCATCTTTCTTCTCTACCTTCATCAACTCCACCGTGGAAATATCGTGTTGTCCAGACTCGATGGGAGTGGCGAGGCCGGAGTTTATCGAGGACGCTTTATCCTGTGAAAGCTGAGATTTTGTATCATCCTTGTCTTTTCCCATTGCATCCCTTGGCGGAGCGGGATCCCCACTGGATCGGGGCGCTCTCTCTCTGTCCTCTGTAGTAACATCAGACATGTCTCCTGATGAATGGCGTGAGTGACCGGGTATATAGTCCAGCACAGCCTGGGGGGCGTATCGTTCCAATCCAGCGTTGAGTAGATAGGCAAAGCTGGCAATGAGACCATGATGTTCCACCTCGGTATCTGAAAATTCAGAATCGCTGATCTCACTATCTTCAGCTTCCTGCACGCCAGCCGTATGCAGGCTGTTCCTCCTTCTCCTCAGGCGACCATCGTCCATGCCTTGCTCAGCAGACGAGTTGGGATCGCGACAAGCCCAATCCAGAAACTTGACCGCATCCGAACAGATACTCTTAGGCGTACCCTTCTCAACCATCCACCGAGGTATATTGCCTCCAGGGTCACTTCGCGTCACCATAATCCACTCGACAGGGTTCGTCTCCTCAGTTCTCTCGTCCACCTTAACATCACCTGCCTGCTTCTCTTTCAAAACTGCCTCCGTCTCCCCCTTACTAGACCCCTCAACCGCACCCTGGCCATCACCACCACTTCTCCTCGTAATCGGAATCTCCCTGATAAACTCCACAGACTCATACTGCCCCCGAATATATCCCGGACAAGGCGGCGCATCAGCATGCTCAACGGGCTTCGAAACCATCATCCAAAACCGCCCCCCCTCCTCAAACCCAACCTCCCAACTAACGATCAACGTAACAAAATCCCTCGGCGTCGTCGGCTTCGGAAACTGCGCCGAAACATGAAAAACAGTTACATGGGCCAACACCTTCTCCCCACTCTCATCCCTCACCTCAATAGTCTCGACCTGCTTCTCGGCCCCGATGCCGCGGACCGACTGGTCGGGCGTCTGGCCCTGCTTCATGCGCTCACGGTTCGCCTTTAGCGTCTCAGCCATCTCACTCGACAGCTTCGCCTGCCATGTGGAGAAGGGGAGGCCCTCGTGGACGCTGCGGCGACCGAACCAGTGGCCTTTGCCGTCGTTGCCGGGGAGTTTGTGGATGTTGAGATCGAGGGGGTTGTCTCTTGTGCTGGAGACCTTGATGGGTTTGCTCCATTGTTGTTGGAGGGATTGGAGGGTTAGGTCTGTCGTGTTGAGTCTGGCGGGGGAGGGTTTGACGTGGTGTATGGTAGTGGCGGTGGTTGATAGAGGAGGTTCTGGGACGGAGTTGACGATGAGGTGGGCTTTCGTGGATAGGCCGTTGATATAGGTGCGGAGGGCGGAGGGGTCGGTGGGCACCTCGTCCCAGGTTGTTGGGGCGAGACATTCCAGGGCTTCTTGGAGGGCGGCCATTTGGCTCTTTTTTTGGGGGGGAGGTTGATGACCGGTGGAAGTCTGGATGTACTGAATGTACTTGTCGGGTCGGCGGGTGGGCTGTCGATCGAGGGTTGATGTCAGTTATGAGGCTGATTGTCGCCTCCAGTAGTCAGCAATTAATCAATCCAAAACCACAATTCGGTCAATCGATATACATATAGGTACCATGCAGCCTGTTGAAACAAGTCGCCGTGATGCCAGGCAACCGAAGCCCCAAAGGCGGGTTCCCCAGTCCGTGACGTCATTGGTTATCGGCACTGGAACCAAGAAAAGTCCGGCCCATAACGATGATGACGATGATTATACTGATTGCTATTATGACTAGGATCATACGAACACTACGGAGTACTAATACTAGGGTGGTTCATCCCTGCCGTATTATATCTACCAGAAAAGAGACAATACACTTCTGCTAGTCCTGCAGTTTATCAAATTATGTTATCCAGACTAGTTACATCATGCTCAAAGGATCAATGCATACGACAATAACGAGAGTCAGGGACAAAAGAACAGAACGAGGGACCGGCCTCAAACAAGTGCAAGACTATGCCAGCATCCGATTCTCGTCCCTCACCTCTCAGTCAATGAGAGGGGTTGGAACGAGCTTATCCAGGTATTCAGAACCCAGCCCGGAAGATAGGAGATGACCCTATAGACAAACACAATCCACATGGCGCAAACGGACCAAGGGAAATTGGTTTACTCGGAGGACTGAGTCCCGTCAAGGTCACAGACCCGACGGTCCTCAGCTACATCGGGCGCCTGTCACGGACAGCCTTCCCGAGCCAACGAGTAATCCAATCTCCATTATTCTATCGACGCCGACGTGGTCTGTGTTGCCAGAAAAACTGCGAACGTAAAGATAACGTAACTCGCAGCGCCGCAATCAATACCTCTTCAATCTGACCTAGCAGATGACCAGTCTGGCAGCCTGTACCAGAAAGAGGGGCATCCAGGATAGAGAAGGAGGCGTCTAGGCCCAGCCATAGCACCATCGATCAAGCTATCCTGGATGGATGCGGCGACGAAAGAAAACAGAGCGAGCGTTTCTCATCCAAATCATATCCCAAGCCGCGAGGCTAACCAGGTCTTTCATGACATATAAAACGGGATCTGAACAATGGGATATTCTCATGAAACAAACAAAACAGATAGCCGACCCGCCGCTTCTTCATGCAAGAGAACAAAACCGAAAGAATCAAGGAGAGACGAAACGCTAACGCTGGCTCGAAGAAAAACAAACAAACACAAAGAAATAGTCACAATCGCAAAGAGAGAAGATATTATGTTCTTTGATGGTCATGCAAACGAAGTGGAGTATCATGGTCGCAGAATCGTCAATGGTAACGCCGTCACTGATGCCAATTAGTCTGTTGTCTGTATAGCGGGGATAGTGCTCCCGGTCGTTCTTGTAGGTGTGTCTCGGGCTCGAAGGGTACAAACGAGCTAGATGTGGCTTGTCGACAGGGACTCCGGGATCTAAACCAAAAATACGCGAAGTCAGGGAGACCATCAACGTCAAGTGTATGGTTCCATGGGCGCATTACATGGTTGTCCCGTACGGCAGCGCAAAGTCTTGGTATCGATCCCCCCATCCAAATCCGAGCATGCTCGCCGCTGTGCTGCAGGGCTGTACCAACATGCTTGGCAATGGGAGCGCGGCAAGTGCGGCGGACGTGGCAGCGGTGCTATAATACTGCGTCGCATTGTAAGGCGAAGTGGTGTACGGTTGGCTGTAGGACGGTGTCGGAGAAGCATACGAGAACTCATTCATGTTGTTCAGGCTGGTCCATATATTCGGATTAGAATCTCCTGTACTGGCCGTGGCTGGGCTGGATGGCAGTACTTTCCACGTATCCATCGACACAGGCTGCTGCTGCTGCATAGGGTCATGCCACCATGTCTCCGGACCAGTGGAACTGGGGAGAACAGGTGTCGAACGAAGCACGTCGACCACGCGTGGAGGGGGAGGGAGCAACGGAACGAACAGGCTGGTGATCGCGGACTTTGCTTCCTCACTTCGGCCCCCAAGCAGCTCACCTGCACCGTCCTCCTCCAGCCCTTCCAGTGCCTGCGCGCTGGTGCGATAGACGAACTTGTTGGCAGCCTGGACAAACTCCTCCTGTAATTTCTTCAACTGGCTCTCCTTCTCGGACCAGTCCCAGGTACTTGTGGCTGTGTCAACGGAGTAAACCTCCTTGTGGAAGTCGACCAAAGCTTCGATTGTTTCCGGAGTCAGCTTGAATGCGACCTCATTTCGAGATACCATGTCAACATGCACCACGTATGCCTCAACATGGATCATCTGGTAATTGAAGAACGCCTCCACCCACGGGTTCTCGTCCCTTCGGAGCTCTGCTTCGGGGGCCTTGGGGAACATCATGGAGCACAGGGTCCAGATAGCGTTTGGCGAGGACAAGGTTTCTGTTAGACACTTCGTATGTTGC